CCTACAGAGCGGCTAAGACCGGCATGCACCGCGCGTCCGGGGGCGGGGGCGGAGCAGGCTCTAGGGACTTGGGCAAAATTACTGAGGCTAGGAGAGAAACGGGACGAGCCAAGGGATCAGGTGAAAATTCTGGGCAGGCAGAAACAAAAGAGTGAGAAGAGATGGCTGTCTGCATCTAGTTGCTGCGGTGAATGAGTGCTAGGGAACACGACACCGGCTTTTATGGAGCTCCCAGTAAGATGGGGTGACTTGATCAAACCTAAGAATCTCCTATTAATAGAGAAAAAATATATAATAATTTGACTACCGAATCCGGGTACTTTGGTTGGTAACTGAAAGGAGAAATAGAGGAAGCATTCTAGATTCTAGAGCAAAGCAACAGTTCAGAATGGAGTCTGAGAAAGAATCTGACTGACGCTTGTGTTTAGAGCCTGGAACTGTCAAGAGTCTGGAGGCACAGAGTAACAATGCAGGTAGAGCAGACTAGGCTCCAAGGGTTAAGAATCAAGACACATAAGAGGAAAGAAAGGGATGACACCAAGAGATGTTCAAAGAGTACAGAATTCACCTGAAAAGGACACAGCCTCCCTCTTGATTCATTCAGAAAACAGAGATTCCGAAGGCAGAGGAGTAAGTAGGGAATTGGAAATTAGTTCCTCATAAGAAATACCTCACAGGATATTTATCTGCGTATACAGAAATGTGGGCCCAGGTTTTCTATGGAAACTTTATAGAGACGGACATTCATGGGGAACGGAGTAGTGGGACAAGAACTGACTGTTCGGGACTTCCCTGGTGGCACAATCGTTAAGAATCTGCCTGCTAATGCAGAGGACACGGGTTCGAGCCCTGGTCCGGGAAGATCCCACGTGCTGTGGAGCAATTAAGCCTGTGCGCCACAACTACGGAGCCTGTGCTCTAGAGCCTGCGTGCCGCAACTACTGAGCCCGAGAGCCACAACTACTGAAGCCCACACACCTAGAGCCTGTGCTCCGCAAAGAGAAACCACCACAATGAGAAGCCACCGCAATGAGAAGCCCGTGCACCACAACGAAGAGTAGCCCCCACTTGCCGCAACTAGAGTAAGCCCATGCGCAGCAAACAAGACCCAGTGCAGCCAAAAATAAATTAATTTAAAAAAAAAAGAACTGACTGTTCAATCAACAATTATTAGAAGAAGAGTGTGTGTATGACACCAGGAAAGGTACTGGATCATGAACAGAGACCAGCATATCCACTAAGATCTATATATCTTGATGGCATAGGATTCAAGTAGCATAGGGTGAGAAATGCCTGCCCATCCTCCTGCTCAATACTACATGTGCTCAGAATCTGTTCATAATAGATGGTGATAATTAGATAAGCAGTTGTTCAAAGGTCTCAAAGAGCACCTTTCTACCTCTTCATTTCATCAATCTCAGTGATCGTGAGAGCTGGGGTAAAACAGAAGAGAAATGCCCAATGGGTATTCTTTGCAAAGGGAACTCACAAAATATTTTTTAGAGGGAGGTGAATTTGGGAGTGATGCAGGGGTGAAAATGGATCTTTCTGGCATGGAAGTGCAATAATTCCACAGGGGAAGGGGAGGGGCAGCCATGGGAAGAGAGCAAGGAAAGGATACAAGGCGCATCACAAACTTGTAGAGGGAGGGTACCAAGAGTACCTAGATCAGGAGTGAGTGTGTAGGAGGAGTTTGAATCCCCAGAAAAGCTCCCTAAGGAGGGAAGGAGAAAGTGTGTAATGTGTTGAGTGCCTCTTGGCAGGAAAGGGATAGAAAATATACTAGTGGCATAACAAGGAAAGTCACTCCATATTAGGACCCATTGACTCCTACCTTGAATATATACCCTTCAACTATCCTTCAATTCCTCTTTGGCTCCTCACTTTCACTCAGTCAAAAGCCATATACAGAGCCCCAGGCCACTGGGAATTGGTATTTCTTGCTTCTCCAGGCTTCCCCACCCCAATACAAAAGAGCAAGAGCATACAAAAGGGATTAAATAGACAATTAAGTGACAAGGAATTAAATAGAACTATCTTATAGATTTATTAATGAAAAATACTTTACAAAAACAGTATGTTTGGCCCTAAAATAGTTCAGCTGACTCTCAGGGTTTACAACGGCGACTGAGCGAGTGGCAGTAATGGCTCTGCAGCTGAGGACAGGAGGGTATGTTAGTGTGCCTGACTCCATCTGTTCAGAAGAGCAATTGTTATGTTGGCAGCCTCGCATTCTAGGCCAAAAGTTTGAGGGCAGAGGGACAGTCTGGGCAGGTGGGTTAGCCTGAATGTTGTGGTCAAGACCAAGACTACAGGGCTACATATCCCTCCAAGGATGGGGATTGGGAAGACAGAAGGTCAGGTAATTGGGACAGGTGGATAAAACAAAGAAGTTGGTAATATAATAAGGAACAGAATACGAGGGCTCAGGTGGAGGTGGGGGCATAGAGTATTCAGGAATAAAATGGTGACCCTAAGATCCTAAGGAATGGCTAGTGTCCAGAGTAATATGGATTCATCTTTAAGGTGGGTCAAATAAAGCCCTAAACAGCAGCTGCTTCCTTTTGCTAGGTGAATGGAAATTGGAATTTCAAATATTCCCTCTCAAAGAGCCAGGTCTCTTTAGCAGTTCCTGGCACCCCTAGGAGAAGGTGCCAACGCTATGTTGAGATGAGACTAGCACAGCCCCAGGGATGCAGGGTACCAGCTCTGCAGAGAAAGCTGTGGCTCCAGGAGAGGAAAGGGGTGACCTTTACCACCTGCTGTGCTGCATGGCTCTAGCCCTGATCTGCTCTCTTCCAGGGGCATCTGCTAGAACAAACAGAAACTCCTCTCTCCCTGTCCTCCTGTGCCCAGATTGCAGGGTATAACTGCTTTGCCTCCAGTCATCATCTGGGGGCATATCTACTCTTCGAGGACCATGGGCTCGAAACCCTGGGACAGGACCTGAATTCCAAGCTGACCTCAGGGGTACACGAAGACTGCTTGACAGTAGGGACACAGGGTAAACAATGGGAGGGTGGGAGGGTGAATGGAAAAGATCCTCCCAGGACTGAGCATGAGGAACCTGAAGGCCCTGGTGTCTCTCTGGTAGTGTGGCAGTGTGGGTTAGCTGAGGCTTGCACCCTGGAGTAGTCAGGAATCTGGCGCCAATATGCTCGTTGGTCTCTGACCATGCTCCCCTGGAGGCATCTGTTCTGGTTCGATGGGGGAGACTCCGGTAGTTCAAAGTCCTTCCTGTGTGCTTGACCGCTTCGGAAGTTTCACCCCTGTCACACATAGCCAGAAACTGCTGGACACTCCTCGAAGTTCCTGGGAAGAGAAAAGAAACCCATCGATTGAGCATCTTCAGTAAAACCATTCTCCTTTCCAGAGGACCATTTCTGGCTGTTCCTTCCAACTCCCCACCTCTCCAAGAACATACACATAAGGGAAAGAAGGAACCTAGTTTTGCTTTTAATTTCATTTTTTAAAATTCTTAATAAACATTAAAATAAAGTCTCTTACCTCCAACCTGTGCAAATGAAACAGTCTCCTGGATGTTGCCATACTTCTGCCTCACTGCACTATAATCCTTCCTCCAAAAGACAGACACGCGCGCGCATGCACACACACACACACACACACACACAGAGTCACACACAAATGGCTCTCTAATATTGCAAATGTATGTTCTCACTGTGACAACTTTACTCCTTAAGAGCCACCACTCCAAAACATCACTCAGTTTTTCTGAACATGGTACCTTCACTGAAGTTAAGCTGTGTCTGCTTACATTCTTGCTCATTCTCCAAGATCTCTGCTTTTGTTTGCACCACTCCCACATACATAATGTGAAATGCCTTTTCTATACATTGATTCCCCTTTACTTAAAAGAAACAAAATAACTAATTTTCAAAAAATCACTTCTAAACAATATTTTTCATTCTGTATTTTTAAATTCCATCAACACCTGTACTATACTTACACATACGTATATCTGACTATTGAAACTGAGCTCTTTGAGAGCAGAGAGCTGCCTTCTTTCTCCCCTGTATTCACTGTGGCATTTGGTGCAGAACAAGTTGCAATAAATGCTGCCTGACTAATCAGATACCCCTAATAACTGTCAAAGGAGGCTGGCTACCTGGCTGTTCCACTGAGTAATATGAAGTCCATTTATCCAGAAGGCCTGCGTATCCAAAGCTCCCTAAAATTTGGACACAAATATCAACAATACTACTCTATCTTCTGTTCTAAGAATGATAACCATCCCTTGCCCTGGGGATTTACATATCCACAGACATGTTTCTCAACCTCGGCACTACTGATATTTTGGGCTGACAATTCTTTGTTTTGGGGGTGGGATGGGGTGTGCAAGGAAACTGTGCATTGCTGGATGTTTAGCAGCATCCCTGGCCCCTCTACCCACTATATGCCAGTAGCACCTCCCATTTCCCGTTGAGAATCACTGCCTTAAACTGTAGATTCGGCCCATAAGGAGGAAAAGGAACAAATCTAGCTGTGGAGGGTCAAAGCCAAAAGGATACTGTCCACCTTCCCCAGGATTGTCTGGGTCTCTATACATGGCATGGCTATTCCAAGGATCTTTCCAAGTCTCCCATTCACACCTCGTCCTCCTAGATCAGGGGTCCCCAACCCCGGAGCCACGGTCTGCTATCGGTCCATGGCCTGTTAGGAACCAGGCCACACAGCAGGAGGTGAGTAGCAGGGGAGCAAGCAAAGCTTCATCAGTATTTACAGCCACTCCCCATCACTCGCATTACCGCTGGAGCTCTGCCTCCTGTCAGCATTACGGCGAGTTGTATAATTACTTCATTATATATTACAATGTAATAGTAATAGAAGTAAAATGCACAATAAATGTAATGCGCTTGAATCATCCCCAAACCATCCCCCCTGCCCCTCCCATCTGTGGAAAAATTGTCTTCCAAGAAACTGGTCCCTGGTGCCAAAAAGGTTGGGGACCACTGTCCTAGACCATCGCTCAGCTGAGACTCGGGATAGAAGGAGAGGAAACTAGCTGATAGAGATGACACTTCCTGTTTTGGGGGATCCTAAAGACTGGGTATTAACTCCCCTTGGTCACTTAAAAGCATATCCTATCATGACTGAAGCAATTCATTTTCATGGGTAGTTAGATTCTGGGAGCTCTGGTCTAGACCATGTTGCTCAAGAAATGATTCAATCATAATTCATCTAGATCAATGCTTTATCTTTAAAGCAGTCATTCATATCCCTTTACAACCCCACCTGTGACCCCTCTTCCCCCACCCCCAACAGGTGTACTGATTTGATTCTTCCAAGTCCCTGGAAATGTACCACATTCCAGCACATAATAGTAGATTGTGGGGAGAGTTACCTGGGGGTCTATGGGGCTCCCCTGCCACGCTGGGCATCAAGACATCTGGGGACAGGAACTGTGGTTGGGATGGGTAGAGTTGGGGACCAAGGAGAAACACAGGAGGGTCATGGATGACAGGGAGGGAAGAGGAGCTGGAACAACGGTGCCCGGTTTCCAAAGGCTTTTTCCTCACGTTTGATGAATCCTTATAATGAGACAAGACAAAAAAACATAGAGATGAGGATTAACACAGAGCAGGATATGGTTGGGTAAACAGTGAAGAAAACAGGGGGAGATGGAAGGAACTAGAGTACAAGCATTCCTTAATATAGAGAGGGACCCAATTTACTTGTTACTCTCCCTATCAGCCCCTCTAGGAAACATCCTGACCACTATGAACTGGAGACACCAAACTACAGATTCTCTTCCCTTAATCTATCTTCCTCATAACCCTTACCTTCCCAAACCTAACATCAAGGTCTTTAGCAAACTCCTTAATGCTAATAGTAGAATTAGAGAGATTGTGATAGAAATTTAAAAACAGAGAAGAGGGGAATTCCCTGGCGGTCCAGGACTATGCGCTTTCATTGCTAAGGGCACAGGTTCAATCCCTGGTCACGGAATGAAGATCCCACAAGCTGCTCAGCATGGCCAAAAAATAAAATTAAAAACAAAGTAACAAAAGCCTCTAAAAAATACATATTTAAAAATTAAGAAATTAAAAATAGATTAGAAATGAGAGAAATTCAGAAAGCCTGAGAGATTGAAAAAGAAAATTCTACACTCTCTCTAAATATTGGGAACTAATATATATCTCCCTAAATGTACAGTCAAAAACTCTCTATTCCATCTTTCCCATTACTGCTACACTCTACAGTCTGCACTTTGGTGCTGCCTGTCAAGTTTGTACCCATTGATGCTTATGACCTGCTCTATGCTCCATTCAACATTCACTTCTGTGGCAAAATCTCTGAAATATCCCCTTTAACATATGAAACACTAATATGTCCAAAATTGAACCAACATTCTTCCAAACTCCTCCTCCTGGTACCGTATTTTCTTGTCACCTAGACTCAAATGTTGACACTGCCCTTGATTTTGCACTTTTCTTCCACAATTCCATTAGTTGCCTATGCCACGTAATGTCATTTCTACCTATAGGTTTTATATTTAAATTCAACTGGACCACTGCAGCAGCCTCCAATTTAGTCTTCCTATCTCCAGCCCACTACCTCCTTAGTGCGGCCTGCAAGTTCCTATGTGATAAGGGCAATGCTGATCTTTCTCATTTTATCTCCTACCATTCCTGTGCCTTTTACACTCTAACCTTCTTAACGTTCCTCAAACACACCAAGCTCATTCCACCTCAGGGCCTTTACACTCTGCGTTTCTGTTACCCGGAATGTTCTTCCTGTGGCTTACACCTTCATGTCACTGAGGTCTCTGATCAAATGTTACTTTCTTAGAGCTGATTTCCCTCACTACTCTATTAAAAATAGCCCTGAGAATAACCACTATTACCTCTTTACTCCTTATCCTCTTCCTTTGTTTTATTCTTCTTTATCACACATTGTCTGGGGTTTACTTGTTTATTGTCTTTCTCTCCTAGTAGAATACATTTCTTTTCACTCCAGTATCTCCAGCACCTTGAACAGCTCCTGGAACATTACAGGCACTTAATAAATAATATAGTAAATAAAATAATCTATATGCCAGTATATCTTATTTCCTTTACTAGACTGTAAGATATTTTGTGTTGTTCCATCAGTGTGTGCTCATAGCACCTAACAACAGCATGGCACACGGGAGGCATTTACCATACAGCATAAGGACCAGGTGCTAGTCCTCTCGGCATGTGACACAGCCATAGAAGAGACATCACTCTTCACTGGTTTCCCTTCTATCTCTCTGGTCTCTTTTACCAAGTCTCCTTTTGGGGTTCTTCAGAAGAACCACCTCAAATCTGATACTCTTCAGGGATATGTCCTGGTTCCTCGCCTCTTTTTGTAATACTCTTTTCCTCTTTTTAGTGGCTGTGATTCTCGAATCTCAATTTCAAGTTTATATGTCTCACAACCAAAGGCCTACCAGATACCTATCTCCACTCAAGCTTAATATATCCAAAATTGCAGATATCTCTCCCCCAAAATATATTCCTGCTTCTCCTCCCTCAAATATTATCATTATCAACCTACAATTCCTAGATATTATCCTTGATTCTCCTTTCTCCACATCCAGGCAAGTGGGTACCAAACACAATAATTTTTACTTCCTAATTGGCTCTCCAGTATGTCCACTTCTATCCTCCCGAACTCCTTACTGTGGTTCATGATATGACCCTTGTTTATAGTGTTTCCAGTCTCACTTGTCAATATTCTCCATCCTTCCCTCACCAGACTCTAATCATGCCATACCAATGAGCTTCTTTTAACTCAGTTAATGTCTGCTTCAGGTCCCTTTATCTGCTACATTCTTTTTACTTCCTGCAGGAAGACTTCCCTGATTCTTCAAGCCTGGTTTAGATGTCCCCTCTATTATGCTTCCATAGCATTAAATCCTATCATATTGTATTACAATTGTTTATTTATCTGTCTCCCCCAGTAGACTGTAAAGTCATGAGAGCAGGGACTGTATCTAGCTCACTCACCACCATTTCCCCAGCATCTGGCACAATACCTAGAACATAAGCTCAAAAAGCATTTGTTTAAAAGAATGAATCGGGACTTCCCTGGTGGTCCAGTGGTTAAGACTTCACCTTCCAATGCAGGGGTTGTGGGTTCGATCCCTGGCAGGGAGCTAAGATCCCACAGGCCTCGTGACCAAAAAACCAGAACATAAAATAGAAGCAATTTTGTAATAAATTCAATAAAGACTTTAAAAAAATGGTCCACATCAAAAACAAAAAAAGAATGAATCAATGAATAAATGAATGATACAGAAGTCAGGACCAAGGAAGCCAACTCTCCTAGGAAAATAACAATTCGCCATTAAAGGTATATGAGAACAAATATTGGGAAGAAAAGGCCACCTTTTCCAAAAAGAATGGCCAACTGTTCAGAGCTCTTTAGAAACTTATGAGCAATAACTCATAAAAATGACTA